AACTCACAGAACTGTATATTGGCAAACAGCTGCATATATTTTAAAGACCCAAACCCATTTTACACCAGGAGTTCCTCCCTATTTATTTTGAAGGGCAAAGGTGGTTTAAAATATTACTACAATGCAAGTAACAATTTCATACATTCCATTAAAGATGCATAGTAACCACTGTATTTGTAATAGAAGACTGACATTTGTTTATGTCATGCATAGACTTCAGACTTTCACACTTGGACTCTGTTGCAACACAATTCAGAACATAAAATCTACAAAATGATACAATGAATCAGTAACAAAGGTATCTATGTAGAACAATATATATACATAAAGTAATATATTAGATAAAAAGATATATTAAAAAAATATATGCAAAAATATATTTCATCAGGTCTTTACAGTATAATGACAATCACTGAATACCACTCACCCTATCTGTAAGCAGGTTGTGCTTGAGGTAAACATCAGTGTAGGATTTGCAGCCTGGGAACAATGTCTTCACAAGCTCCACTTCCTCTTTGGTCTCACTGATGTGACTCTATAAGTTTAATGATTGCAGAAAAACAGGTGTTAATCATTTTACTATTATGGGTCTATTAGTGTTTATCTTACGATTTACAGCAGCTAAACTGCTAATTATTCACAACTATTGAGTTTAGAATATCAGTTTATAATATTTACAGCATTTATTTATAATATTACAATGATAGTTTATATATTGCACAGAATCTCTATTATAAATGCTGATGGAGCATGGAGTACATAAAGCTAACCACACCCATCATTCACCTCATTGTCACCTTTTACAAGAATTATGAACATAAAGAACTGAAAGTGATAACACCATAAGGTCTTGTGTCAATCAAAAACTCTTAGTCATCATACCATGCTTCAAGCTTCTACCATGTGAACAATGCCGTAATCCACTTGAATGTTAATTGTATGTTCTTTAACCTTTGTAAATCACTGTTTATCAAGTAGATGTTAATGTGTGAAAGGAGGACAAACCTGAACGTGAAGCTTGTTGTTATTGGCGATCTCACCTAATTCACTGAGCAGTGAGGAGGAACAGGATGGAGCGAATCGAGGAGTGACCACAGGCTTAACATTGGGGTACTAAAACAGTCAGATAATATGTTTTTATTTTCATATTTACAGAGCCTGAAATCATTTAGGCACAACTAGTTACTGTAACACCGACTCTGACTAGAGTTACATAATAAATCAATTAAATTAATGAGAATGAACTCATTATTTACCTCCTTTTTGAGAAGCTCTTTGATGAAACTGCAAAAAAAAACAAGAGGAAGCAGAATCATATCTTCACGTTCATTGATCAGACTGGGGTTTAGATTAGGTTTATAACCAAAATTCAGTCATTTTGTACATTGTACATGAGGGTACTAACACTATCGTGTCAGTACAGTCACACAGTCCTCCAAAACTCACCGATCTGTCTCCTCTTTACATTCACTTGGACTTTCTTTGTACTGTGGAACTGCAGAATTGCAGTCCATGCAAACTTTACCCACTAAAGCTCTTTGTCCAAACCTATCTAGTGGAAAAGAGGCAAAATATTGTATATCAAAATCTAAAATCAATGATCGATTTATTATCTTGTGAGATAATGATACAGCAACATAGTGGACACATGATTTGAAAGTAATATTAAAGTTGAGACAGAGTTATTACAATTTTACTTCACAGAATGATAGGTCACACACAGTGCACCTCTTCTTACATAATATGAAAAAGCAAACATAAATGCAGTTACTTAACAGGAACAAGAACTAAGACAAGATAGGACGAAGCAAGACAAATTCCAAAGGTTAGAGAAAGGATGTGTTTGTGTTTGCCACCACAGACACAGTTAAAGGGGAAATTCATTCAACATGTGTGTATCCTTGGTTGCATGTGTTTTACCTGCAAGCTCTCCAAGCAGAAGAGAGGCATCAGTGTGTATTGTGGCAAAATAACAAGCAGTAGTGGTGCCGTTCTTTAATGTTCTTCTCTACAATGCCAAACAGTCAGCAAAAAGATTCAAACGAAATTTGCAACATGCATTCTACATCCTTATCAGTTCCATCAATGATTTACCTTACTTTAGAGTTATTCTTTACATTTATTATAGTTTTTATTTAATCAATTTCAATGAGCTTACCACAACTTTAGTGTAGACATCATTGGCAAAATCCAAATCTTTATACTTGGCTTCCACAGGGAAAGTGTAAGTGTTGAGCCACTCCAGCAGAGGCAGGTCTAAGGCAGTTCCAGCATAGCTATACTGAGACGCATGGATGTGTGTATCAACCATTCCGGGCATAAGAAACTCACTGTGGAGCCAAAGTCAAATTAAGCAGTGGCACTGCAAAACGATTTCAAGCTTGAACATGCTCATTATTACACAATTTGATCACAAAGCTGGTGACGTTACCTGCTGAGTGGTTGTTCTGAATGCAAAAGCGACTGCAAGTCCTGCACCCTTATGCAAGACTTAGGTATGTTAGACTATAGAATATATGCAATTCATTTAGACTGATGTACTTACTATTGTCCAAGCTGTTTTATGTCTGAAGTTTCAAAGCCCCATATTTCTGAAAGACTGACCACATCTTGATGTTTTTCAATAAATGCAATCTGCTCAGAAAGAAGGGGAAAAAATAGCATTATGAAAAAAATAGGAAGTACATTATTACAAATCATTGGCAATAACAAATGACATCATTTATTATATACAGTATAATACATTATGTGATTAGGACATTTATCTTCGAAAGTCAATCAAAATGAGATGACACAAATTGTATTAAAAAACGTATTAAACAAACCTTGCCCTTATCGTCGACTCCTAAGACACAGTTCTGCAGTATTTCCACCGCAGCTCGTGGTGTGGAGTGCACAAATGTTCCACTGAAGACGTGCGCAATGCGCGCGGTTGTGTGGTTCCGATTCATTATTGGCACCGATTTTCAAATGTCATTTCAAATGAATTCTCTGAACTTTTATATACGACACGAGGCATTGCAGAATTCCTGGGAGGTGGATATTGTAAACCGGTAATCATTACAACAGCTCTAAGCGCGTCATAGGGTACATCCAATCAAACTCTCATGCGCCATTGGGACGTTCTGTAATTGGTGATAGCACACCGCCGCCTGTTTTCTTTATTTTGATGTTTTAATTACTCGCTACTACAAATAATAGGCTAATAATAATAATAATTACAAATAAGAAAATATAAACGTTTAATAAATTATGGGTAAGGTTAGGTTTAGGGGTGGGGATTGGGTTAAGTCTGTATTTTTTGGACAGTAATGTTGATCCAGGATCAACAAAAGATGTTGATCCAGGAACATGTCTTACTTGGCAAAATCACGGCGACCGCGTGTGGTCATGGTGATGTATGAGCAGTAGCAGGTGTCCAACACGGGATTAGGGTTAGGGTTAGGGTTAGTGGGATAAAGGAATACTGAAGCAATATTAATTTATACATAGAACATATCCATCAGTTAATAATTTAGGGCTATAATTAATAACCATTGGTATTAGCTGAGACTCTAAAATTCATTAGGTTCTGGTTTGCATTTATAACAAATAAACTGAACTGAAAATATTTGTGAAATGTTTTGTTTAGTTGTGCTAATTTATAAGAATGAAGGTAGAAGGACTTGCTGTATTGTATGTTTGTAGACTATATGAAAGAGCAAATGACAGCACCACGGATGAACAATAGTTACCTTAGCTACGTACCTTTTTGAAAGGTTTCACATTACACTCTTGCCTGTGCAATGTTTTATATTAGAACAATCCGTTGATGTTTGCTGGATAAATAATTATTGTAAAGGACAATTCTTGTGCAACACTTGAATACACATGACACATGACATTCACGCAATATTAGGACATTGCAGTCTCACCTGACTCCTTCAACAAACATTACAACAATATAGACAAACACTACATAGGCTATAGACAAAAATAAAGGGCATTGTAATGAAACAGAACAAAAATGGTTTGCATTGTCCACTGCACAGAAGAACTGCACTGAAATTAAGTTACACATAATTATTTTGTATGCATACCATTGAACTAAGTTAGTGAGTTCTGCCATTGATAAGAGTAAAGGAAAGTGAAAATGTGATCAATAGCTGTATTCCGTATGAAGAAGCTGCAGCCATTTCTTCCATATAAAGAATACAGCCATTGAAAGCATTTTCACAATAGCATTTGGACACAATCATTTTGATGTGTGTGGTAAAGGAGATAGTAAAGCAGTCAGACATGTGATACAGGTCTCCCCTCTTGCTTCATAACTGTGGCTAAACCTCATGACATAAATCCAGGATTAAAGTTACAGTTCCTCAAATCGTTCACAAAACAGTTTATATTTGGTTTTTGTATTAGCAATCATGTAAAGTATTAACTTCTCCATAACTTTGCGTCACAGGTGGTTCAGATGCTGCACAAAGGGCGAAACAGAAACTATTCTCATTTAAGTTCCTTAAACATCACGAGAGATTTCCCTGAAAATCTTGAAATAGTTGGCTATGATCTCATAGCATTACCTCTGTGATCACATGGCGATTTAACATGTTACTGGACTCATTTTCATTCAAAAAATGTATTCTGTTATTCTAGACCTGTGATGGTTCTACTTTATATTAATTATCTTTAAATGCACTAATGTACTTACATTAGAAAAGATTACTTGTTACAAATGTGCTTATTGTGTTAATGCTGTATTGCCAAACTTTTGTTGCTATTGATGTGGGACATGTTTAAGCTTAGGGATACGTTTAGTGGTATGGGTAGGTTTGTAATTAAGCAGCATTTATTTAAATTAATTACAGCCGCAATTATATGGATGTATTTAAAAAAAATAAAAAAAAATATATATATATATATACACGTATCTACACAACAAGGGCATTGCATCAAATGATTTTTGAATTTAAATGTTACTACATAGTAGTTAATAACGCTTAATATAAAGTGGGTCCCCTGTGTTTTCGCAGCCACTTATTATATGCAAAGAGGACGTTTCTAACTAAATCTATATGTTAAAAAAGATGAAAATCAGTCAGCAGGACAGAAAACGGGACAGTGAAGGTGTAGATTTAACATTCAGTGTAATTCAGTATTTTCTAAACAGAGAGCACTTGCTTGTAGGTCGTTTATTCAATGGACATGTTTCATCAGTACTTTCTATTTCTGTTTTTCTATTTACAAAAATACTTATGAAACATATTTCATTCATATAGCTTCTCAAATAACATGAATGCTATCAAAATGTTTGTGTGATTTAAAAAACAAGACTGGGTTTCGGCATACGACTGTGTCAGTTCCTGCAAGATCACAGTAATGGAAACAAACAGTCACCACAGCCAACAGGAAAACACCTCCTGGGAGTCTTTCCCAATTAACAGCAGGGGAACAGGTGAGTACATGTCCAGTATCCAGCTCCAGTTTTCCTTAGATACACTGTTCTTAGGTTTAGCTGTTTGCTGGTAATGCATACAGAAGACTGCTAATGTTAATTTCCTTCCGCTTCTGAATCACTATCACAGTCATCATTGCTAAAGCCCAGGTCATCAAAATCTTCGTCATCATCTCTTTTTTTCTGTCTCTTTCCTTTATTTGGCTGGCTGGTGTCCTCTACCTCTTCTTCTTCTTCCTTCGTGTCAAGTCTGAAAAACAAAAAGCAGACAGATACATAAAAACTCTCTAAAACAACTATGAAATACAAGAACTTAATTTTGTGGTCACAGTTAATAGTAATACACCTCAACATACAGTATATATACAGTGGTGTAAAAAAGTGTTGGCCCCCTTCCTGATTTCTTATTTTTTGGCATGTTTGTCACACTTTAATGTTTCAGATTATCAAACAAATTTAAATATTAGTCAAAGATAACACAAGTAAACACAACATGCAGTTTTTAAATGAAGGTTTTTATTATTAAGGGAAAACAAAATCCAAAACTACATGGCCCTGTGTGAAGAAGTGTTTGCCCCCCTGTTAAAACTGTGGTTTATCACACCTGAGTTCAATTTCTCTAGCCACACCCAGGCCTGATTACTGCCACACCTGTTCGCAATCAAGAAATCTCTTAAATAGGACCTGCCTGACAAAGTGAAGTAGACCAAAAGATCCTCAAAAGCTAGACATCATGCCGAGATCCAAAGAAATTCAGAAACAAATGAGTAAGTAATTGAGATCTATCAGTCTGGAAAAGGTTTGTGACGAGCGTCCTGAAGCTTCATCAGCGTCGCCCTGGCAACAAGCGAGGAACACCTGGCCGTCCTCATCACAGGCTGATCGGTCACAGCTGCAGCTCATCAGGCGGCGGCCACATAAGCCACGCAAGCCCTGCCATCTGGGAGACTTCTCCATGAGACTGAGCACTAACTCGCCCTCTCATTTCTCCCACAGACAGCAGCGTGTGACCGACCAGCCCCACAGGAGCACTGCACGGACACTCTGCACTGGGAAGACGGGAAGAGAGCACTCACGGCACCGGAGCACCTACCTGGACCTTTCTCCCTATCACCCACCACACCAATAAATCCACCCTCCGGGGTATTGATTGAAATTCCTTGTCGTGTGATTCTTCACCCCGTTACACATGAAATATCTTGATTCTCACCTTTATAGATTATGTTATTGTTAAGTCCCAGGTCTAGGGTCTAGGAGAATAACATAAATAAAGATCTTTACACTGGGGTGTTGTGATCTTTCGTTCTTTATTTATTTATTTATTTATTTTTCCAAGTCAAGTTTAATGGCAATAAAATAGCACACAAAAATAGGAAGCAAGTGAACTTCAGGGTTGGGCCAAGGACAAAATAATAAACAAAAAATTAAAACTACTGTTTCCCAAATAATCTTAATACCCTAGAAAGAAAAAAAGTTCAAACAAAAATGCAGGGTCTGAACTAACTCCCTGGCTAACCGAAAAACAGGAGAAAATGAATAGATTACAGAAAGAAATGACACCCAACCCCTACAGCTTCCGTGCTGAAATGAAGTGATATGCACAATATTTACAATAACGGGCGAAAACACACAGCCATGTTAAAAGAAAAACAATCTGATGAAAACTTTACAACAACAACACAACACTGGGTGGGTAAGGTGAATAGAAAAGAAAAAGACCAAAATAGATTTCACAATATTTACAAAAAGTCGCTATACAGAGATTCTCTTTCTTTTCTTATCAGTAATCACAAATTCAACCAACAACATCATCAACAACATCCCACAGCCAGATCAGCCTCGCTGCGTTTTTGAAAGATGCCCAGTTCCAGCCTCGACCAACCCCGTGCCGCCACCACTCAACGCGTTCAGCTGCCGGACCCCCGAGTGCAAGCTGTGAAGCTGCTACCCAAGCAGACTCCTCATGATGACGTAGAAGCCTTCTTACAAATGTTCGAAGCGACGGCCACCACGGAAGGATGGCATAGGGACGACTGGGCACAGGTGCTGGCTCCCCTGCTGACGGGCGAAGCTCAGCGTGCATACTTCGCTCTTCCCGCCGCCTCCGCCAATCAATATAAGGAGGTCAAGAAGGAAATTCTAGCCCACCTGGGGTTATTCCCCTATCTGTGCCGCCCAGGACTTCCACGAGTGGGAATATAAGCCCCGTCTGCCTGCCCCTGCCCAGGCCGCCGAACTCACGTG